TGAAATTAGCTAGTGTAGCTTGAGAGAGTGCATCTAGTAGATTATCATAATTACTTGAGAAAGAATTATGATAGCTTGAGCGTTCATGATTGTTAGAGACAACTAAATTATTGTTATAAGACATATACAATGCCTTAGACCAACGGGGGGAAACCATTGCCTTATACCTTATTTCTATTACACATCAAGTTTAGTTAATTTACAGCTATTAATTACTTTCAGTCTTTAGTTGTTAGAAAATCAACCATTGTGAATCAGAAAGTTTGGGAAAACAGATTGTGTGAATTTAGTAAATCTGACAGTAGTGATTGATAGGTTAGTTCTCTGTGGTTCGACTCTAGGCAATAATACTCAGATTATATTTGCAACGCCCGCATAGTCTTTTGTGAGACTCAATTGAGCGTGATCAAACACGCCTAACTAATATGGACCAAAAGAAGCTAAAATAAGACGAACACCGTTTATAACATAAAAATTGTGTCAACAAGCACATGCAACGAAACTAAAGTAAGGGATCAAATGTATGCCACCAACACTCCAACGGTATAAAAAAATAAAAATACATCATCACGGCTAATTCTATTTTCCATTAATTTGAACTTCATTCCCTTGAGCTTTAAATATGATCATTCCTTAAATGTGGTAGATGAAATAATAGGGTTAGGGACTTAAGGTAAAGGAAAGGGTATTATAGAATAAGGGTACAAAAAAAATTAATTTTTTTTTTTGTATTTCTTATCGGTTTATCGATAAACCGATAACCGAAGAGGACAAAATCGAAATCGAAATCGATAACTCGATAAGGAAAATTTCGAAATCGAAATCGATAAATCGATAAACCGATAACAAATAATCGATTCGATTTATCGATAAACCGATTCGAATGCACACCCCTAGTACTAGTAGCACACATGTACTACTTTCCTATTTTTCACATTCATGTTACACCATGTTGTTTATTTGGTTTCAGTTATCGTACTCATATGGTTACTATTTTGGCAATACTTATTCTTTTCTCCCCCCCCCTTCCCCTCCCTTTATTTCTTTTTCTTCTTCTTTTTCTCCATTTGCTTCTTCTTATTATTTTCTGTATCGACCCTGCCGTTCGTTTTGAATATTTTAGTCTTGTTCCCCTATTTTATTGCCTCATCTATGTTATATTGTGGTTATGTGACATGCCGGGGTGGTTGGTTTTGGTTTTAAGTGAGTTTCGGAGTGAAATGAGACACTTAGTCCTTAAGTTGGAAGCTGAAGTTGAAAGAGTTGCCCGAAGTTTGACTTTTATGTAGACGACTTCGGAATGGAGTTTTGACGGTTCCGACAGCTACGTATGATGGTTTTGGACTTGGGAGCGTGTCCGGATATTGATATAAAAGTACGTAGGTCGTTTTAGCTTGAATTGGTGAAAGTTAGAAAGTTGAAAGTTTGGAAGGTTGAGAAGTTTGACCGGAAGTTGGCTTTATTGACATCAGAGGTCGGATTCCAATTCCAAAAATTGGAACAGGTTCGTTGTGTCATTTATGACTTGTGTGCAAAATTTGTGGTCAAACCGAGTTGTTTTGGTATGAACCAGCATCAGTTTTGGAAGTCGAATGTTCATAGTTTCAATAGGCTTGAATTGGATTGTAATCCGTAGAATCGATGTTGTTTGATGTGATTTTTTTGCCTCGAGTAGGTCCGTTATGTGTTTTAGAACTTGTTGGTATATTCAAAAGGGTCCCGAGGGTCCCGAGTGTGAATCGTATTGAAATCGGGTTAATTTTGGACCTAGTGATTGCTGAAGTTGTTGTTGTTCTGGTGCCATTGCACTTGCGGTGGGTTTTGCCGCAGGTGCTAACACATAGGTTTGACGTGGCTCATCGCAGAAGCGGAGAGGGCCAGCCCAGGGCAGGGTTGCAGGTGCGGCCCTCACTTAGGACCAACTCCTTTTGCTTCTGTGGACGACTGCTCGCTTTTGCCAGCCCGCTTTTGCTGAGATTCGACCGCACCTGCGGTCCTTGACAAATCCCTCCCAGGTCCACTTCTGCGGAGGAAATGTCGCACCTGTTGATGCACATTTGTGCCCAGGTGTCCGCACGCTCTCGCCAATTCAAGCTGAAACGAAGACCTTCAAATTAATATCCGGACACGCTCCTAAGGGCAAAATCACCATATGGAGCTATCGTAACCGTTAAACTCCATTCCAGAGTTGTCTACACAAAAGTCAAAATTCGGGAAATTCTTTCAACTTAAGCTCCAACTTAGGGATTAAGTGACTCATTTCACTCTGAAACTCACCCGAAATAAAAACCAACTACCCCGACAAGTCACATAACCACAATATAACATAGATGAGGCAATAAATAGGGGAAATGGCTAAAGCGCGTGTAGCTATTTTGGGAAAATAATTTTTAAAACTAGATTTAAGGCTCCCGCGTGATATAAGAAAAGATTGTGGTTTGATTTGTGAAATGAAACTACGAAGCGGTACCTTGGTAGTGATTCTTGTTGATACCTTTCATTTACATCACTTATCTTTTGTTTGCATTATTTCCTTACCATTCTTATTCTTTGTTTCTTCCGTGTTGTCTTAATTGCCTTAGTCTCAGTTACGGGCGGTTGCCGTGTGGCAGTTACGGGTTCAATTGAATCCATAACTTCAATACGAAATAAAAATTTATGCATAAAAATTTATTATAATTGAAAAAATAATAGATATGAACCCATAACTTTAATAATGGGTTCAATATTAAAAAAATTTAAAGTTGAACCCATAAAGTTTTAATCTTGAATCTGACTTTGGTCTTAGTGTAGCTATTCTTGTTATATTTCTTCCTTATATCATTTTCCTTGTTTTCATTATCATACTATGCTACACGTGTTCGGTTTCTTTATTTATTCCAGTAGGTGTCTTAACCCGACCTCGTCACTACTCTACCGAGATTAGGCTTGATACTTACTGGGTGCCATTGTACGTATTAATACTACACTTGTGCACATCTTTTTGTGCAGATCTAGGTACTTCATACCAGCTTAGGCATCAGTGAGTTGCGCTTGGACCCAGTGGCGGATCCAGGATTTTAAAGTTATGGGTGCTCGCCGATAAAGACGTCAGAAGAAGAGCAAAAATGAATTTACTTGTGGGTACTCACTCAATATTTATCTAACTATTTGTATAATTACCTATGTAAATTTACTAAATATGGTCAAAGTTAATGGGTGCTTAAGCACCCACAAGTGCCCATGTGCATCCGCCACTGCTTGGACCAGAGACTTTAAGGTAGACCTGCTAGCGTTCATAGGCCTCGGAGTAACCCTCTATCTAATTCTATTTCATTCTCTTTTCCTTTAGATACTGTTGTATAATGATGTTCAATACATTTGTGTAGAGCTTGTGACTCGGTATCACTAGATTTTGAGAGTTATGTTCAGTTGTGTTGCGGAGTCCTTTTGTTCTATTGGTTAAATTGAAAGTTTTATTACAAGTTTTAATACTATTTTAGTTAAATTCTCCATGAATGCTAGGCTTACCTAGTCTTAGAGACTTGGTGCCATCACGACGTTGGGGTCGTGACATTTTCCCTCTTCTCTTCCTCCGTACGATTCTGAGCCGAGGGTCTAATGGAAACAACTTCTCTACCTGCATTAGATAGGGGTAAGGTCCGCACACACACTACTAGGGGTGTTCATAAAAACCTAAAAAATCAAACCACATCGAAAACCAAACCAAACCGATACTTTTTTTTGGTTTGGTTTTAGTTTTGAATTTTTAAAACCGATCAAATTTGATTTGGTTTTGGTCTTAATCAGAAAAAAAAACCGAAAAAAACCGAACCAAACCGATTATAGGAGTAGTTATTTCAAATTTATTATTACACCGATATATATGTATATTTTTATACAAAATTTTAAAAATTTAATGGTAAATGTTAATAATTTGCACTTTTAGTATAGTTCTTTACCTTTACATTCTAGTTTGATCGGTAGTTTTCTTTTGTTAAGTGCAAGAATCCATTTCGTGTTAAAAATAATATATTTTTAATCGAGTCCTTAAATTATTCATCACTATTTGATTCAGTTATCATCAATATATCTTGGTAAATAATAGATTTCTCAAAGGGCAATTGATCGATAGTGTTACGTTGAAAATGTGGTCGCCGGATATGTGTTTGGCAGTGTATATCTTATATTGAAGAAAAACCCGACAAATAACCGAAAAAGCCGAAAAATCAACAAAACCCGGCATAAACCGAATCGAGAAACAACCGACTTAATTAATTGGTTTGATTTGGTTCTAATATTTGAAAAACCGACTTACTTGATTTGGTTTCTTTTTAGGGAAAAACCGATCCAAACCGAACCATGAATACCCCTACACATTGCCTTTCCGAAAGCTTGTGAGAATATATTGGGTATGTTATTGTTGTGTGTTTAATCTAACAAAAATGCCTAATTCACCTATATGATTGACGGATGATATTGGACAATTAATTCGTGTTATATTGTTGTTCCAAATATAATTTTAGAACATCTTTTTAATTATCAAGTTAGCTAATGGCTATATAATATTGAGATTGCTTATGAAAGAATAACATATAAAACTTTACATTAAGCTGACTTCTACTCTCTTTTTTCCTTTTCTTTTAATTTGTTTTATTCAAGACACTACAAAAAAAGTCTCATTCTATGGGGGTTTTTTGGGCGATTAGTGGCAGTTTTCGACCCCCACAAAATGAATTATGGCGGTTTGAAAAAATGCCACATATATGTTCGCCACAAGCATTTCTGCGGCAGTTTTTTAAAACCTCCTCGCCGACCGCCACAAAATAAATATTAATTTGTGGCAGTTTTAAAAAGCAATTAGCGGCAATTTTTAACCCCCATAATATGATCTTAACGTTTAAAAAAAATTAATTTATGGGGTTTATAACCCCCACAATTTGATCTCAATCTTTAAAAAAAATTAACAAGTGGCAGTTATAAACTGCCACAATACCTATTTAAAAATTTTAATTCTAGGATTCAATAAATAATTGTTTACTAAATTAGTAACTCTAATTCCATTACAAATATCTATAGTAACAAACATTACAAACTAAATTATACAAACACATATATGATCTGGAACAAAGGAAGTACTTAATATGATCTGTAGCACTTACTCTGACTAGTCATCGAATAGCTTTTACTCAGTCCAGTAATCTTTGTTAATATTGGTCCAGCAATCAATTCATAGCTAAAGTTGCTCAAAAGTACTATTAAAACAACTTTTGATAAACAAACTCCAAATACATCTGTAGAAGTAAACAAACCACAAGGGGTGCTTTACCATGGCAATTAGCTCAAATCCTGGATGATCGATTCATTGCGCTAGAATGTCCTTTGATTCAGTGGGTAAATATCTACAAAAATCACCTAAAGTTCATGTAATTGTACTCATATTTCCAACCGTCCCTGATATACAAGGATGCAGTAGTTGCACACATACAACAGAACTCATTTGATGTCCTTTCTAATTAAAGAACAAAATATTCTCAAAATTTGCAAAGTATTTACTTAAAATATTCTTGCAGTGTATAAAATTAGCCATCCAAAGAATATAATTATCAAACCCCATAAAAGGGGGAAAATAACAAGACACCACCTAATACATATAGACAATCTCTTACTATAGACTCTTTTCTCAAAAGCACACTCATTTTACCAAAAACAATGACTCTTTAAAGGGTAAGATTTTCAATTGGACCTCGAAATAAAGGAATGTACACAACAATTGAAATAAATATAACTCAAGATCCAAAACAATTCTGGTTAGGAACCCTATATCGGAAAGTTAGAAAAGACAATATAGAGCATATAGAAATAAGAAAGAGTATGAAAAAGTACGAACCTTTGTTCTTTGGATTGCGCCCCACTGGCTTCGTAGACAAGATGAAGAGAGCATCGAGCGCTGCTAAAAGATTTGTGAGAGAGGGAACTAATTGTACCATTTGAAAGAAAAGGGAAAAAAGAGAGGGAATTTTGCCCGGTTCTATAATTTTCAGTCTAATATCGAAATTACCCCCTAATGTGCAGTTGAAATCCTAGGAAGATGGTGGCCAATATTGTCTTTTTAATATTTTTCTTTTCTCTATTTTCCCTTTTATATTTCCTTTTAACTATTTAAATAAAAGAAAATTTGGGAAATAGAACTAATTTAATAATAAAACATACTTAAACATAATTGAACAAATTCAAATAAAGTTATTAAAATAATCCATTTAATATTCAAATTGCTAAATATCCTTGATTAAATAAAATATAACACATTTATATAATTACTAACATTATTTGTTGAAATTCAAAATCCTAATATTATGAAAATAAAAGAAATTTATGTCCATATATTTTGCAATTTACTTTTTTCGTTCACACATATAGACCGGTACATCTGTAGGTTGACACAAGTTATTACCAAACCATCTCAAATGACCTCTTATTTTATTCTCAATACGTGTTACTTGCACCTCTAGTGAATATGATAATTTTTATCTTGTCTAATCTTCTATAATCGCACATCCATATTAGTATTTGTGTATCTACAATACTCGTCTTGTGGATATGTTAAACGTTTGCGGTCCAACGCTTTCTACCATATAACACACTTTACAATATAACATTGTCAGTCTTATACTCCCTCCGTTTCATATTATTTGAGGTAGTTTGACTCGGCACGGAGTTTAAGAAAAAAGAAGAAGACTTTTAAAAGTTGTGGTCTTAAAAGCTTAAGGGGTAAAAGGTTTGTGGGGCCATGCCATTTGTGTGGCTATAAAAGCTTCTCATTAAGGGCAAAAAGGGTAAATGTAGAGTTTAAAGTTGAATTATTTCCAAATTTAGAAATGTGTCATTTATTTTGGAACAGACTAAAAAGGAAAGTACCTCATTTAATATGAAACGGACGGAATAATTGTTATGTAAACTTATTCACTTTGATAATCATCCTTCTATCAAAAAACATCCAATAGCACTTTTCTATTCTAACGTCTTATAATTCAATGAGTAACATCTTCGTTTATATTCATTCTCTTGAAATAACGAGCCTAGATATTTAAATTGTTTGAATTTTAGTACCGCGACTCTTTATGGTCTTATCTCAAATTCGCTCTACTCATACCGACTAAACTTGAAGTGTATATATTTAGTCTTACTTCTGCGTATCCTAAAACCATTGCTATCTAAAATACTAGTGTTAGAACCCGTGAGATACGCAGATAATTTGACAGAATATTGATTATAAAATTATGATCTAATACATCGTATTATTTTAATAGATATTAGTTATTATTTTATTATTTAATATAGTGTGCAAAAATATAATAAAATCTATACAAAATCAAAGGATACACATCATATAGTAATCAAATAAAATATTTGTTCCTTGTTTATTCTTTATTAAATTAGCAAGTAGCTAGTGCTATACATTTACTAATGTGACTTTTTATTAACTTGTCAATTGGCTTAATATTTTGATACTACTTCCTTTTTAATAGAACAAGCAGTACATTACCATTAATACATGCTAAAGGAATCAATTTCACAAGAAAAAATACTAAATTAGACTCAAAACCTGAAATTGGCTCAAACTCGGGCCCCGGGCCCACGTCTCGGAAACCCGACAATAGTCACAAACTAGAAAGCCCATTCACTCACGAGTCTACCCATATCAAATTTATCAAAATCCGACACCAAATGGCCATTCAAATCCCCAAAATCATCTCTCAAATTCCCAAGCCTCAAACCCCAAATTACACCTCAAAAACATACCAAATAAGTGGGAAAATCAGTGGGAAACATAATTATTGAGTAGAAATGATCACTAAGAACTTACCTCAAGAATCTCCTTCAAAATCCTCTTATAAATCTCTAACCCGAGCTCAAAAATGTTAGAAATATGAAAAAATTCAGGAACCCTCGATTTTGAACCTTTTCATACTGCCCAGATGTCCTTCTTCGCAAACGTGGTAGTACCCTCGCGTTCGCGAAGCACAACTGCCTCATACCGGAAATTTCCTTCAACGCGAACGCGATCCACCACTCGTGAACGCGTACCTTAACCAGCTCAACAAATCGCGAACGCGACGCATTCCTCGCGAACGCGTAGATGAACGACCTGCGGTCCCCAGCTACCTCTATTTCTCTTCACAAATACGGCCCTTCTTACGCGTTCGCGCTGCACACTCGGACCAAACCTTCGCGTTCGCGTCCTCCTCTTCGTGGATGCGAAGAACAAAATTCCTCAGCTCATATAACCATTCGCGAACGTGACTGCCCTCTCGCGAACGCGATGAAGAAAAACTCTGCAACACAATACCAGAAAATCTGCCAACTTCTAAAGCCAAAAATGATCAGCTAACCACCTGAAACTCACCGAGGCCCTCGGGACATCAACCAAACATACCAACACATCCCATAACATCATACAAACTTAGTCGAACCTTCGAATCACTCAAAGCAGCATCAAAACACCAAATTACACTCGGATTCAAGCCTAAGAACTTCTAAACTTCCGAATTTCACAAACGATGCCGAAACCCGCTAAACCACGTCCGAATGACCTCAATTTTGCACACAAGTCAAAAATGACACCACGAACCTATTCCAACTTCCAAAATCCAATTCCGACCCCGATATCAAAATTTTCAATGCCGACCAAAATCGCCAAAATTCTAACTTTCGCCAATTCAAGCCTAATTCTACCACATACCTCCAAATCACATTCCGGACGCGCTCCTAACTACAAAATCACCTAACGGAATCATCAAAATTCAAATCCGAGTCGTTTACACATAAGTCAACATCCGGTCAACTTTTCCAACTTAATCCTTCACATAAGAGACTAAGTCTCCATTCACTCCAAAACTACTCACGACCCGAACCAACTGACCCGGTAAATCAAAATACAGCTTTAGAACACAAACAAAGTAGAAAATGGGGAAACGGGGCTGTAACTCTCGAAACGACCGGCCGGGTCGTTACGATAGAGAAGTTTTTTTAATATATGTCATAAATCTACTAATAATTGTAGTACTTATTATATTTATAATATTTTCAATAAAAAATTAAATCGGATTCTTCTTCCTGGTTATATTAAATATGGCAGTTTAATTTTATAACTTTGTCTATTTTATTTATTTCTTGAAATTATTGTTTATGTTTTTGTCATTAGCTTTATCTTATCCATATAGCATATAGCATGACCATATGAATTATTATTCAAAATCTTTCTCATCTCAAAAAAAAATTAGCCTTATCATTTAATATATCTCTACATTGAAGTTTTATATTTATATATTTTTCCTTTTCAATAGTCTTTTTAAAAAATATATAGTTATTTATTTATTTTAAATTTCAAATTCAAAAAAAGTAACTAATTATTAACCAACTTCACTAATTATTTCCTAAAATTTGACAATTGTTAAATTTTTATTGTGACACTTGGCATCATCACAGTAACTTGCTTCTCCTATTCTATATAGATAGATTTTTTCAAAGTTCAGATTTTTGGTTGACACCTTAAATTGTGGAGGAGTGCAACGCAATTTATGAATTTTTGTTTGGCGCGGCACACATCAATTTATTTTAAAGGCCAACCTAAAGGAACTATGATTTTCTATTAAGTGTTGTCTCTAGAAGGCCTAATTACTTAACACTACAAAACTCGGGCCTCAAGTTCAAGTCCGAACTTAAACAAGAGGAAAACCTCTTAATTTAAATTCGCTACCTAACTTGAAAGGCCCCAAAGCTTGCATTTCAAATTTGACCCAACAAATTAAGGTTTTCAGCTTCAGCTTTGTTTGTAAAGCTGTCCAAATTGGGCTGCAGGACAGGCCCAGAGCGAAGGCAAACAAGAACATGGACTTGGGCTCAAGTCCGCACAGGCCCCTAATTTGACGAAATTAAGTGATTTAAGGGGCCTGGTGATATTCTGGCCTGCTACTATGTAACTGTGCCATATTAGGCCCAATTCTTATTGCCCAAAACGGTCCAAGCATCAATGCTAACAAACCAGTACTGACTAAAGATTTGACTTCCTAATTTAACCAACTTTCGACATCAATTAACAGTATTTCAATTTACGAGCCAACTCTTTTGCTTTGCCCTTTTTTTAACTACAAGTAACTGGACAAACTAGATTAAGTAACAGGTTCAAAACTAAAACAGGAACGACTGGATGCTTTTATTTTTTTGCAGACCTGTAAAACTCATAAGACTAAATGACAGACTAAACTAGAATTTGGATTATGAGGACTTAACAGGACCTAACTTTAGATTCACATGAACATAAACTAGAATTTGGAGAACCTGATAATGGACGTTTGAAGTAAAACTTCACATACAAATACAAAATAGAATTGAAGTATTATATCATATGAATCAATAAACTAACAGATCCTGATTTTAATTGGACATTGATTTCACAAATGAACCTTAAACTTGCTGATCTACTGATCTTAAATGAAAACAGATTGCATATAACATGTAATTCAAATGAGGCTACTGAATTCCTAAACTTAGACAAGTTACAAATTTCCAGTCCATTTAAATGACCTCAAGCATTCAAATCACAACCAGGACCATAGCAAACTTCTAATTTCAAACTAAAAAGACTAATAGATCTACTCAAGTATGCCTATATGCAGGCAATAGGAATGTCCTGTTCAATTACAATGCTTCTAAAGCAATTAAAAACAACTTGTCATCTAAATACAAGGCTCTATTACACAGGATAGTATTTCATGCGCAAAAGCATACATAAAATGTAATATATCTTTGAATCCTCTTATTTCCATCTTCAACTCAAAATTTCAGCAGTACATAGGGAATTTCAGGAGGTATGTACCTGGAAATGCAAGGAAAGTAAGCAGAGGGAGGAGTCAGCGACAGTAAACAGCAGTACAGTGTTTCAGCAGATAGAATCAACCCAGAACTGGACACTCAAGCCAA